CGGTGGTTGCGGGTTGGTATGCCACTTGTATCTGGTGCTTTCTTAATTATCATTCGATAGGCTGAGATGCATTCTTTATGTATGGGAGAGTAAGCCAGGTTAGTGTTTTCGATACCTCGTTGGCCGTACTAGTCTAAATGCCTTTTTCTCCTTTGGATTCTTGTCGTTTTATGCACTGGAGCACGAAATTTCGTGGATATCCATTTTGGAGAATAATTGAAAAAGGTATTTCGTTTCTTCCTGGTAACCTTCGTCATCAGAATAGTGCGTTTTAGATCGACTGAGGAGGCTGTAGATAGAACTTCTTTTATGAGAGACAGGGTGATTGCTCCCAAAATGTAGGATTACTTCCGTGTATGTTCCTTTACGGTAAACAGATGTGCGGAGTGATCCATCAGTATTTCGATGTACAAGGACATCTAGGAATGGGAGTTGCCCGTTAACCTCCGTTTCGAATGTAGATTCAATTCCTGGGAATGTGGAATTGAGTCTCTTGTGGATGAGGTCTAAGTCAGTCTTTCTGATGATGACAAATGTATCATCTACATAGCGCATCCAGAATTTTGGTTTGAATGTAGGGAGGACTATTGATTCTAATTTCTGCATTACAGCTTCGGCCAGAAAGCTAAACTATACTGGTACTAAGTTAGTAGCAGTGGGCGGTTTGTGGTCAGTAAAATTTCGTTGTTATTGGCTTATAACCAACTGCGGGGTGCTGTAACCTAGTATTATGAAGATTAATGTGAAACTCTCCCGTCAAAGGTAGTCTAAGTGGTGCACCTCATATACCCCTAGTCCCAGCATTTTTCTTACGGAAACGGTGAATATAGGGGGTTTTGCGGGTGGGGGAGTAGGATAGGCAGTGAAGGAAATTTGTAGAAGTGTAAAATGGAAAAATGTAGTTAAATTTGTTTCCCGCGGCCGCTGGGAGTAAGTTGTTCCACACGCAAATATAAGGTGTGCGCTGCTCTTCGCGCCGCGGACTCTACTAACCTAACTCCAGAACGGTAAGTTGGACCTCAGGTTAGTTGAAGTAAACGACCTCCTAACCACCATTTCTACCTTTTCAGGAATTTCGAGAAACCTGCATTTTGATAATCGGGTTTTTCCGCAATACATTTAACGATAATACAGATTAAGAAAATCTACAGATATAAATCCACAACATATCTGAATACAATAAAATTAAAATGCATATAGCAGTTATTAAAGCATATTCCACTGCCTATCCTAATTTTCCACCCATGAAACCCCTATAAAAACCGTTTCCGTTGGACAAAATGTTGGGACTAGGGTTATATGAGGTGCACTACTTAAACTACTGTTGCCGCTTTTTCAAACATTTTACCTTCATATATGTCGTTATTTTCAGTTCATGACATGCATATATTGCTGCATTTCCAGAATTGTCCCGGAAAATGAAACTGGTTAAGGATTGGGGTACACAGGATAGGCTAATTTTTATCTGTTTGTGCCACTTAAAACGGAGTCGGAATTAATCAACCATCCGTCAATGGAAGATGGTAACCTCTGAGGCCTTATATAAACTTTTCGGAGTTGGTGCTGTTCCTGACATAATTTTTTTGCGATAGGTTCCTTCGTTTTCCGGAATCCTATCTACCGTCTTAATGAATAGCTTGGCTCCAATTTGCGTCGCAGCCGACACTGGGTAAATAAACTTTGCCCTATTGGCTTACGTTGACTGCCTTGATAACTAACTTGTAATAGTGATTGCAGCCGTCACTGATATCGTGCTCAAAAACGAAGTAGTTTAATGAGAAGTTACTCAAGGGTGTTCATTTATTACGACACTCAAAGTTCGCCGCTTCTGGTATCCAGAACATTTGGCTATCCATAAGCTGTATCGTGAGTTGCGTAGTTAGTGAATCAGTTTCTCGCTTAGATACCGGCTCTGTTAATCGATAAATGTCTCTATTGCCCCATCAACAACTCAGCTTCCGTCCCTCCGACGATCCTTACCCGCAACAACCGCGGAACGGTACTTAAACACATTTATTCTTCATGCGCTTTGATTCTATGGTTTACTTTGGTAGTTTTACCTCATACTTCAATCTAAATTCTCTTCACGTGTACGCCAGTCAAGGAGATGAATGTTCACATGCTCAAATGTACCCCGCCATTCTATTAACAGCATCCCGTGAAACACCTGAAGACTCCGTAACATCACGGTCAGAAGGCAAATACCTGGTGTATTCCCTTACAGGCAACGGTGGTCACGCTTCCCAACCGAGTGGAACCTCATCGCGGCTTGATGCAGGACGTCAATCTCGAGAGCGTTCTCGATCGCCACTGTCACCGAATGCTAATAAAGGTTCCGTACACCAGTTTTCGTCTCACGACTGCTGTAAACCGCCCGATTCATGCAGCCGTCGTCGAAATTATTGCCAAAACCAGTCGTACGACGACCATGACGGCTGTTTAACTCCTCAAGACTCGACTGCAAAGTTTGGCCGCCGTCAGTGCAGTCGCCACCGTTACCGATTCCACCCACCTGAATGGTCCAGGGAGACAGTTCACAGTCTACTTGGAAGTGACGATTATCACTATCGTGGAGATTTAGCGTACCCAACAGCATACTCACTCCATCGCAGAGGTGAGCACACCTGTTACTTCCCGACTGGGGAAGGGGGAGAATGCTCCGCACCTAAAGGAGCCAATGAATGTGATCAGAGGTATTATGAGGTTTACTGTCCCACATCTTCGTTTTCAAGTGTTTCCTATAGGCAACATTCATCTTTACCACTCTGCACGAAGGACAAGAAGTCTGTGCCTCGTCGCTATGATGTCATCATTTCTGAATACTCCCGTTCAGTTGGTGATCCCTATCAGGACTAATAACCTTTTATCTGCGCTCATGCAACGCTCCTCTTCGGATTTAAGATTACTTTCAAAGTGTTGTTGCCTTTTTTATTTCCATTTTTGTTTGTTCAGTGTTTATTCGAAGGGTCATTATAATCCGCTGTCCGCACGGCACAAAGTCATGCAAACTAAAGCCGGTAATCTTAGAAGTCGCCCAAAGTTGAGGCAACCTGCTGGCTAACCCAATTATCCATAAGCACTTCTTTTGGGACCTTGATCTCTCCACGTTATACTCACGCCTGTTTTGACCGATTCTTTTGAGACCCTAACAATCCCGTAGGATTATTGTAGCGCGGAAGCCCGGCTTCGCCTTGGGCTTCCTTACGCATTGGTGTCCCTTATGTAGGCAAAAGGTAGGCAAACTGTATATGAGAACCTCTTAAAATGATTATGAAGTATAAGGTGAGTGGGTCGGCATTTCTGAGGTCGTTTTGACTCGATGGACAGTATGGGTATGGTCCGAAGGAGTAATTGCGCAGAAAGTAGCGACGGAAGATCGTAAAATAACTGAAAATATTGTTTAAATGTGTAAGTCCGACGGCTGCGCAAATATCGTTTGCTCATGAAAATTACGATATTTACAGTGGTTAAGTCCTGTTTGATTTCATTGAACGGGCAAGAGCGTTGTTCAGCAAGACGAAGGATAGGGAGGGAGTAGTAAAGAACCACAAGTTTAAGTGGAAAACTTTAAGTGTGGATCCCATAGAGTGGCGGTTTTTAACCACTAAAAGAAAACTTAACAGGTAGTAAAATAAGAGTAAAGAATTATGTTTGCGGCGAAAAGGCGTAAGTTTACGCACGAAAAGAGCAGAATTTTTAAAGAATAAGTAAATTTATTAAACAACTTCAAAAATAATGAGCAAAACGTGATTATGGGGAAACTTAAAGCTTCTTTTCCCTGGTGAAAATTTGAAGATTGTATAAACAGCAAAAT